CCTGCTCGCGCGCTCGCGCCGCCCCCTCCCAGCGAGGGGCCGGCTGCCGACGTCGCGCCTGCGCAGACGCCGAGGAGCCGCCGGAGTCCGGGCGGACTACGCCTGCGCGAGGGAAGGCCCGCCCCCCCTTCTCCTCCCGCCCTCTCCAGAGGACCTGGACTGATAATAGGAGAGAGAAAACTGGGTTCCTGCCAATCGGTGGAAGGGTGGGTGGGGTTGGAGGCGGGAAGAGGGCGGGCAGTCTAGAAAGAGGAAATGAGGAGGGCGGAGACAGGACGAAGAAAACGGGCAATAGGAAAGAGGGACCCTGAGCCTCCTGGCCAATAAACACGGAGGAAGCGTGAGTGATCGCGGAAGGGCGGGGAAGGAGGCCGGGGCTGGGCCGTAAGAGGCAGGGCCTAGGACCTCCCAGCCAATAGCAACGGAGAAAAGGGAACCAATGAAACAGGGTCTAGGCGGTCAGCTTGCCCGGCCGGCACGTCTATTCATGTGATGACAGCATCAGCAGTCAATAGAAAGAGCGGAAGAATTCTTAGACTTCCTGAGAGGGTCAGGAAGGAGTGACAGCTAGAGCGAGGCGGGCTGAACCTGCCCTTAACTTATCAGCCAATGACGGTCTTTCTTCACTTCGCAAAAGGGCAGGAAGATAGATAACACTCTCAGCAAATGGTAGCTTCGAGGGGCAGGGATGCTGCCAGCAGGCGGTGCCAGAGCAAGAATAGTCAGTGACAACCAGAGACAAGCGCGAGAGGAGGTGACAGCTGGGGACATCACTGAGAAGGGGCCTGGAGCATCGCTGCGGCTCTTAGCCAATAAGAGTTTCATGCTGGCCTTCTTGGGTTTCCAAAAGGGCCCCCATTCATTCAGCTCCTGAGCTGCACCACAAACCCAGTGCCCTCAGCCGGTACTCGCCACCTCGGTGCCTCTAGTTAGACTATAGTCAGAGTCTTCTAAAAGGCTCATCTCTCTGAAGTCCCTCTTTCAGGCAGGAAACTCAGACCAGGTTTCTCTAAATTCTCATATATAAATTGAGCTTCTCCTCCGAACGCTGCGATTTTTCAAACTTTATCCCTCTCATTCTCGAGGGTTCCATCTCAGAACCCAAATCTATGAATCCCCAATACCATGAACCCTCCATATTGGTATTCCTGTTCTTTGGAGGAATCCCAGAAGCAAGCCCTATCGTTATGACATCTCTTCGGTACTCATTATCTACTAACCTAGACTCCAATTTCATGAGCCCTCAAGGTTGCCCTCGGGCCAAAATCATAAAGACCAGACCTTATGGGAGCTAACCTAGCCTCAACACACCACTTCCTCTGTTCTCTGTTCTCTTGAGCCCCAGGATTAGTGGGCCCCAAAATGCATACAGCATCTGCCACTCTCGAATTCTAGTGAGACCTAGCTCTCAGCTTCCCGGGTCCCCACTGGCTTTTGAATTTTGTTGCCTCACTCCCCCGCTCCCATCTCAAACCCAACCTGGACCCTGCAATGACCTGTCAGATCTTTTCAACGTGCCCACTTTCCATCGGATTCAAGTTTACTGAGCATCCCCCCAATTCCATTCCCTTTCTGGAGTCTTTCTCACCTCCCAGAACCCACTAACGAGTGGGCTCCTTCATGACGTAGCCCCCCATGGTACCCATATAAGGCAAAGCAGCCGCCAACTGAGGCAGGGAGGGGCTGTGCAGGAGGCCAAGGGCAGCTGCTAAGTTTAGGGTGGCTCCTTCTCTCTTCTTAGAGACAACAGGTGGCTGGGCCCCAGTGCCCAGAAAAGAAAATGTCTTAGTGGCATTGGCATGGACTGGAGGAGGGGGAAGGGAGGAGACAAATTCCTCAGGACATCAGGTCCTAAAGGGAGCAGGAGGAGATAGATGGGTGTCCTTGCCAACCTGGGGTTTCCTCTGCTGCTAGTTCCCTAGACTTCTGCTGCATGGAAGAGAATGTGGCACCGAGGCCCAGAACGTGATGAGAGAATACCTAAAAGTCCCAAAGTCAGCCGAGCCGGTCCCTTCCCAGGAAGGACAAGTCACTGGCTATGCTACCTAGGAGAAGGTGACAGCTAGCACTCCCCTCTGGGTGTCTTTGTCTCTTCTCTTCTGAGGTCCAGCCTTGATTCCCACTGGACCTCTTTTGCTTCAACCCTTCCCAAGTTCACCAGCATCTCTGCTTGTCCTTGAACATCCCCCAGTATCTGCTCACCAACCCTTAACATCCAGCCCCGTCACAAGTCTGGCAAACCTAACAGCCGACCTTTCACCTTTCCGGCCTTCGCCCACGTGCTGTGCCTTCTGCCTTGCGTCTCTGCCCATCACCCTCCCCTGCATCACTTCCCTACTTCCCACTGAGTCTGCTATTGGCATCCCTTGCCTACTTGCTAAAGCAAACCCACAATATCAAGCACATCGTAGGTCTGCGACACACGCTTTTTGAGTTTAGATCTGGGGTTCAAAGGTCTGGTTCATCTCTCCCAGAACTATGGGTTGGCTGGGGCCCCCCTGATTTCTGGCACAACCCAGTCCCCTTTTGGGAGAAAGAACACCCCTTCCTGCCTACCCTAATGAGACTCGCATCCCAAGACTTACTCCCTCCTCCCTTTCTGGGCTCCAGCTGCTGCAGGCCTCCAAGAAAGGAGAGGCCCCTGAGCCGGGCTATTTTAGTATCTGGGGTGGGTATCCGCAGGGCTAAGGTTACCATGGTATATTACGGGCTGTGAGGGCAGGACTATATAACCCCAGAAGAGCTGCCCCAAGCAGAGTCTCTGCCTTTTCCAGCTGGAGCCTCTGCCTTGCCCCCAGGAGATCTGAGACATGGTGAGTGAGAATCCCCGGCTGCAGTCCAAACTATTAGCTCAGGGTAGCCTCGCCCTTCAGAAAAAAAAAAAAAAAAAAAAGTTGGTGCTTCTCAGTCTAAGTACAGGTAAGATATGAATCCTCTTTCAGCACCAGAACGGGGCCAGAGGATAGGGTGGTGGGCTGACTCAGTCAAGGACAGTGTGCTTGGATGTCAACCTTGGGGAGGGCGTTAGACCTGCTCGAAGTCTGTGCCGTCCCCTTCTGTCCTCTCTCTAAAGTCCTTGGACCAGTGAGATGATCCCACTCTCATTTTATAGGTGAGAATTAGAGGTTCAGATAGGGTCAATGAGTGGATTAAGCTGGCAGGTATGGGCACCAAGTTAGCAGGTCAAGGATCTTGAGAAGGGCACTGGTCAGACAGGATGGGGGACCCGGGAGCTATAGCTGGAACATAAGAGAGGCAGCCAAAGAAGCCCCCTTAGCCAGATGGAAAAAGTTACTTTAGAAGAAGGGACTCCAAGAATCTGATCTGATCAGGCATGGTGGTGATGTATGCCCATAATTTCAACTGCTTTTAAGCCTGAGGGGTAGGATCACTGGAGCCCAGGGGTTCAAGACCAGCCTGAGCAATATAATGAGAACTGGTCTCAAAAAGAAAAAGAAAAAAAAAAAAGAAGAAAGAGGAGCTAGGGATGATGATGAATGTCTTTAATTCCAGCACTCAGGAGTTTAATTCCAGCATCTCTGTGACATCAAGGAAAGCCAAGGTCTAAATAATGAGTTCCAAGACTAACTAGTGAGACCATGTCTATTTTTTTCCTTGTGGTTTTTGAGACAGGGCTTCTCTGTGTCAACAGTCCTGGCTGTCCTGAAACTCACTTTGTAGGCCAGGCTGGCCTCAAACTCACTGCGATTTGTCTGCCTCTGCCTCCTGAGTGCTGGGATTAGCCCACACCTAGCTGTGAGACCATGTCTTAAGAAGAAGAAGAAGAAAAAAAAAAAAAAAGAGGGTTTGGGGATGTAACTCAGTTGACTGGTAGTACTTGCCTAGCATGTACAAGCAACCAAATAAAATCGGATGTAGCAGCTTAAGAGGGTGACCCTGGTAACAGTACTTGGAGGTAGAGATGGAGGCAAGAGATCAGACGACCAAGGTCATCCTCAGCTAAGTAGCAAGTCTGGGGGCTATAGAGACCTTGTTTTTAACAACAACACAAGTCTGGTTTATCT